GAATATGGACTGAAACCTCCACAAGCTGTGAGCTAAATAAATTTTGGGTGCCAGGTATTTTGTCTCAGCAGTGAAAGAAAAGTAAGCAACACAGTTGTTCAGGTAAAATTGATTTTACCTGATCAGGATCAAATGGGGAAGCGAGTCACATAGCAAGAACACATAGTGAACATTTTCTTCAGTGGGCTGGGTCAGTGGCTCTTCCTGGTCTTTCAAGGTGACTGATGCCTGTTTAGAATATTGACCCCTGAAGTCCATCCCTAGAGCAGTATGTGAGTGCATTTGTTTAATCTTTTGTCTTGAGGTCTAGCCCACCCGGAAGTGCCTATCTCTCTCACAGTTGCAAGGTATCTTGTCTTCCAAGCAGGCTCCTTTGAAGGCCTACCCCTGTCTGACTGCCTATAATATTTCTGTCTAACTCAGCTACCTACAACATTCCCCCCTCTGAAGAAGTAACCCAAACTGCCATGAGGGAATAACAGGTGATGATCGCTCTGGCTTCTTCAGGCTAAAGGAGGTTGTAGCTGTTGATCAACAGTCAGAGATACTCTTCAGAGGGTCTATGTAAAGGCTTTCTATAGACACCAGGAATTCTAGTCTTGGCTAGGTGTATAGCTTTAAGGCTCTGTCTAATGAGCTTGGTGGAAGACCTCCAAATGATATAGGGGAAAGAAAATCCCAACCTGAAAGATATCTGGGATGAGTTCATGTTCTCTAAGATTGAAGAGGGAATTTTAAGAACAACGGAGGTTAAGAGCAGAATATATTTACTGAGGGAAAGAAAGCTTCTGTCTGAGTTGGTTGCCAAATTTTTTGAGGACCCTATATACTATTTTCCATAGTGGTGGTAGTAATTTGCATTTCCGAAAACAGTGTACCAGGAGAAACCTGGGGATTTACAATACCATATCCAGGCCATAGTAGCACCTGCAAGGGAAAGGGCTACAGAGAGAGGTAGAGAAAGAGTAGCCATGAAACAGGGAGGTAGAAGGCTTTTTCTGTGATGCCACCAGAGAGCAGAAAGAGCAGAAAGGGACCGCGAGTGGCACCCTCAGGAACTGTGATAAGAAAATAATTTTAAAAACTGTATGCAAGTAAATACATTTGATAGTGAAAACTGTGGGGAAGAAAGCAGGCTTACTGGGAAAGGGCAGAGGTGGAGAGGAACAATTTCAGGCACACTATAGGACAAGAATACTTAATTTTTTAGTTCTACAAAATATCACACATTTTAGCTTGGACACTAACAATATTTATCTCTTTCTCGCTCCACCCCTCTCTGGAAGTCTGAATGTAGTTTATCTCCAGCAACAAAATGTGAGGCCAGAACTTGAGGAACAGAAACCAAATAAGAATTCCCCTAAGTTATAAATGGTATAGAATATGTACGGTAAAGACATCAGTTTAAAGACGTTTCAGTGAAATCAGTTACCCACCCAGGCTTGAGCTGGAGAGTGCTGGCATTGTGAAAATACAATTTCAACAACACAGTAGAAGGAATGAAAAGCAGAGACTGAAGTTCAACGTAGGGAACCCAAACCATAATGAATAATCTGCCCACGAGTCCCTAAGGATAGGACTGATGCCCAGCCTTCCACATATAAGGGACGAGGTTTGCTAAGCAGACTGGAGGGTTTAGGGCTTCCTTCAGAGCAGAGAATCATCTCCCAGACAAGGGGCCTGCGTATATAGTTGCTTCAGGACAAGACATCTGTAGACCTTTCAAGTCAGCCTGTGCAGCCGCCCCCGAGCATGTTCAGAACGAAAAGGAGGCTGGAGATGTATGGTGTTAATATCATGAAAGGTCTTCAAAGCAAATGCAGTGTCTTTGAAAAGTTTTAAGCCAGGAGTGTGGCACAATCATACTTAGGATTCGGAACATTATATTTAGGTTTGGATGATCACACTGAGGTTTTCAGGCCTGGACGGGTGTGGGGCATGAAAGGATTGGAAGGAAGCATGCCTGAAAGCAGTGAGGTTACCTGAGAGGCTTCTACAATAACCCAGGCAAAAGATGATGTTGGTCAGTATTAGGGTACAGAAAAAGTGAGAAACAACTGGTGGACAATGTAGAATTGTGTGTGTGAGGGGACAAACTAGTAGAACTTGGTGATTAGTTAGTTAGTTTGTTTTTATTTTTTCTTCTAGTACCAGGAATCGAACACATCACCTTGCACTTGCCAGGCAGGCGCTGTGCCGCTGAGCTAAATCCCCAACCCCGAACTTGGTGATTAAATGTGGGAGGTTGAGAGAAGGGAAAGCAAAGATTTTGGTTTATGCACCTGAATCTATGTGCATTCATTGAAAAAAGAAGCACAGGAGATAGGCTGGAATGGGGAGATCCCCCAGAGGTAGGAGACTGGCTTCGGGACGGGGGAAGTAACTCAGTGGTGGAGGCTTGTCCAGCATGTGTGAAGCCCTGGGTTTACTCTCCAGAGCCACAAAGGGAGAAAAAAAAAAACCAAGAAACTGATTTCCTTGTTCTTTATTTTTTTTATTTTTTTTTATTTTTATTTTTTTTTGGTTTTTCTCTGGTACCGGGAACCGAACTCACGACCTTGCACTTGCCAGGCAGGCGCTTTGCCGCTGAGCTAAATCCCCAGCCCCAAATGTTCTAGTAATTCTATTTTTGTTTGTTTTTTGTTTTTCTTCTGGTACCGGGAATTGAACTCACGACCTTGCACTTGCCAGGCAGGCGCTGTGCCGCTGAGCTAAATCCCCAGCCCCCCTTGTTCTTTAAATAAAGGAACAAGACAGCATACTCTGAGTCTCTGCTGAGCTGTACCAGCAAAGCCGTAAGAGTGCAGAGAAGGAAGAGTGGACCTTTGACCAAGGGATGGACAGTGACAGGGACCAAGGAATGCAACAGAGAAACAGGGCTTTATGCCTGGGCCTTTGGATCCGCGGAGGCAGAGGGGAGGAGGAGTATTCTAGGTAGGGGAAGTCATGTTAACTGAGGGCCAGAAGAAGGCAGGAACAAGATACTCTGAAGGCACTGTGGGTTGTTCCACTGGTTTGGAGCATCGCACAACGTGAGCAGTGGAGGAGAATCCTGAGGAGTTCGTGCGGACTGTGCTGGAGTGCTGTTTTCATCACTGGGGAGCCAACCCAGGACCTTGCAAGTGCTCTGCGAGTGAGCCACATCTGCAGCCCAGGACACCATCTTTGTTTTTGCTTTTGCCATACCGGGGATCGAACTCAGGACCTTGTGCTTGCCAGGCAGGCGCTTATTCCACTGAGCTATATTCCCAGCCCAATATGAGAATTTGACATATTTCTTTTACTCTTTTTTTTTTGTTTTTTCCCTGGTACCGGGAATCAAACTCACAACCTTGCGCTTTCCAAGCAGGTGCTGTGCCGCTGAGCTAAATCCCCAGCCCCAGGACACCATCTTAAATGTATGGCCAGAGCTTGTCTGGTAACATCATTAAAATATTATGATAAAAAACACTACACTCCAATATGCTTAGAGAGTTGTTTTTTAACAGAAAAACAGAAAGCAGTAGAAATTTTAAAAGTAGTTATGTAACACAAGGACCTATAGCTGAGTCATGTAACTGGCGTCAATAAAAATCTCAGTGGAGAAGCAAAGTCAGCTGACTCCAAACTCCTCTTGCTTCTCCCATGTGTTTCTCCCTAATACTTATTCTCATTTTCAATTTTTAATCACTCTATTCTCACTTCCTTTTTGGGTGGGAATCGTGCCCTCAAGCACAAACAGGCATGTTGATCGTACTTGTGGTTTAGGAAATGAAAGTCTAGTCATAATCGTAACCTATCCTTGCTTTCCTAACGAACTTTGTAGGCAACGTGTGGTCTCTGTCATTGGCACCATCCGGGCACCCATTAGACATGCAGCATCGCAGGCCCCATAGACACAACCAAAATCTGTATTTTATAAGTTGCCCAGGTGACTCACAAGGACATTTAAGTTTAGGAAGCACTGTAGTAGGTGATACAAAAGTAAAGATCATTTCTGAGGATTTTTAATAAAGGTTAACAAAAATATACTTTTAAGAAGACAACATAATTATAAAAACTATTCTCACCATTATATGTCAAATGAGGCATCAGGTCCTTTATTTCTTCTTCTGTGAGTTCAATCCCCTCTCTTGCTGGAAAGTTGACTAAGTTCTCGGTATCAATCACCTCTCCTTAGAAAGATGAAAAATGCTTTACAGAAATATTCTGGGACAATTTATAAAACACTGTAGTACTGCTTATATATACCATCACCTGTGTACAAGGGATGATCAAAATATGCAGCAACTGTTTAAACAGATAAACACTATTTATTATAATAATATACAAGTATAAAGAAGTGAATTAAAATTGAGGTAGAATTTATGCTATTCAGAAGGTATTAAAATGGTGAAGGATTAAATTTCAGCGATTTTACTCCAAAGAAATGCATAAAGCAAAAAGTTAATTGGAGATAGTTTCAGGAGATCATTAAAAAATTTTTTTTTGTTTGTTTGTTTGTTTTTTCTGGTACTGGGAATCAAACTCACGACCTTGCGCTTGCCAGCCAGGCGCTGTGCCGCTGAGCTAAATCTCCAGCCCACATTTTTTAATTTAATAATTAGCATTTTCAGTATATTTATTGCTGAGAAGTAAAATGAAACCATTAGCCTTTTTTCTTATAATCAGTTATTTACTCTATTTTGGTAAAACCTATAAATAAAGACTTCCCCCAAGGCAAAAAAAATTGCTACAGTAAGACACATTGTCATTAATCCCTCTCAAAATGTCCCCTCTTCTTTTAAAATGAAACACATTTATCCTGTTGTTCCTGCCACTTTCTGGAACAGTTCTGAAAGTCCTATTTCCTGAAGGGAAGGAGGACCAAGGATGGGAGGAAGGAGAAAGGAGGGGGGAAATAGGAAAGGGGAAAGGATGAGAAAAGAATTAAGATGTGTTGTGTATATGTAGTAACTTTTCATGAGGAATATAATCATTATGCACTGCAAATATGTACTAATAAAAATTAAAAAAGACATCATAGTATAATGATACATGCATTACCCATGCTTATAGCAGCACAACCTGTATCAGCTACATCTATATGTCCATTAACAGATGAATGGATAAAGAAAATGTATTTATACACAATGGAGTACTACTCTCCCATAAAGAAGGATACACTTGAGTTATCCACAGGAAAATGGATGCACTTTGAGACTATGTCAAGTGCAATAAATCAGACACAAGAGCTTAAAGACTGCATGGCTTCTCTTCGATGAGAAACTCAAAATGAAAATAAGTTGTAAAGCAAAATTAAAGCTAGACCATAGGAAGTAGGAAGGTATATCTTTTGCAAATGGGAAGGGGATCAAGAGATGGAAGAAGCAGGAAGGGAGAGAGGAAAGGGACAGAAAAAGAATTAAGATGTATTATGTGCGTGTACCAACTCTCCACAATATAATCAGTAGGGACTGCAAGCACATTATTTTATTACTTGTTATCATTAGTAAATAAAAATGGAAATAAAGTAGAGAAAACTTCAGAGATATTATGGGCACTGACATGTAAAAACACATTTGCTATTGTTTACTCAAGTCCAGCAGCATCCACAAAAATAGAACACGTTATATGAAAAAATTTAAACTTTTATGAATGGAAAATATTTTTCTCTACCATTAATTTCAAAGTATTAAAATGCTATTTATAAGATTTCCCCATTATGTCTTGCAACTCACCCTTGACATAACTGACCGTGTCTATTAGATCCTTCAGAGCGACAGTTCTATCACCTGTAAGACAAGAGAAACATACTTCAGACACAGGTAAGCTGATGTTACTGAAACTGACACAATTTATATTGCATTAAGTTCTGAAAAATTGAAGGTCAGAGGAGTCTAGTGATCTTGTTTCCAATTTTCCTTATACTTTATAGACATCCTTAGAAATGTTATCTTAGGAACAAAAAAAGTTCTCAATTATAATGAATCATTATTATAACTTTCTTTTCCTTTCTTTTTTTCTTTTCTTTTCTTTTTTTTGTCTTTTTGAGACAGGGTCTCACTCTGCAGTTCAGGCTGGCTTTGAGCCCAGGCTGGTCTCGAACTCTCAGTGGTCCTCCTGCCTCAGCCTCTTGAGTGCTGGGATTACAGGTGCCTGGCTTTCCCTTTGCTTTAGAGACCAGTAGAGTAACATAAATGAAGAAGTGACTGGTTTTATTTAAACGTAGGGGGACAGAAGAAATGAACCTGGCGCTACCTATTTTTATTTCCTCAGTATTAACTAAGCAAGAGAAGGCATCTAATCTCCTAGGAAGAGAGTGTAGATAAAAAAACAGCCATGGGTCTTGCCCTCAAGAACTTCATTGCTGAGAGATCTTGTAGGTGAGGAAAAGTCAGAAAAGGAAGTGGAGAAGAAGTTGTCAGTGAGGGCAGAAGAAAACCAGGTGAGTACAGGACTTCAAAAATTTGAAGAAAATACACACTAATAAAAATGTGAAAAAAAAGGAAGAAAAAATTTCAGTAAAGAGGGGATGGGCACGTGTGTCAAGTACTTCCAAGATACCAACTCAAACAAGAGCAGAAAACGGGCCATGAACCTTGGCAGGAGGTAGGTCATCATAATCTTTTTGAAAGCTGCTAATTCCGGGCTGCGGTGGGCGTGGAAACAGGAGTGAATGTGAGGTGAGGAGGTGGACACCATAAGTAACAACAACTTTTTGAGGCAACTCTCTGTGCAGAGGACCTAGGAGGTGGAGTGGTAGCAGGCAGGGAACGAGTATGATGGAAAAGCATGTCCGCATTCCAGTGGAAACACCGAGACCGTGGGAGGAGAAATTAATAATTCAGGCTACAGGAGAGAACACCGCGCTGGCAGAGTGAAGTCAGAGAGTGCAAGAGAAAATGGGAACCAGGACACAAGTAAAAAGATGGCCCGGTGAGTCTCTTCCCAGTCTAGCAAAACAAAAGGTTGGACATACGGGCATGGCTGTAGGTAGGCTCATAGGAATGGAGGCAGGAAAGTGAGGACATTCTTATCTAACTCCATCCAGGCGGAGTGACTTCAGTTAGCATGATTTTGTGATGTTCTCCAGCCATCTGAAGCTGCCCAGGGGTAACCATGAAGTAAGGCGTTGGCTGTACCTTTGCTGAGCAAGTTTTGGTAGGAGTTCTGAGAGCCTGTAAGGTGTCATGGTGCTAAGGATGGAACTTAATTTAAGGAAGGGAGACGACAAGAGCAGAGTGGTGAGGGGCTGCTGAACAAGGAAAGAGTTGTGGGGTGAGAGGTGTGAAGGTCTTCAGGAGACGGAAGAGAAGATGGAGTTGGAGTTCTGTGCTGTTCTGCTCCGGCATACGTTCCAGTAGCACCAGTGGTTAATGGAATAATGTCACAGCAATGTAGAAGGCCTGTTGGTTCGTACATCATTTTCCAAGTTCAAAAGACGTAGAATTGTCAATTTGAGTAAGAAAAAAATCATGGGTTGGCTATAGCAGAAACACTTACTGTTTTATTCAAAACTAAACCAAACCATACCAATCAAACCAAGCCAAGCCAAGCCAAGCCAAACCAAAAATCAAGACAAGTGCCAGCAATACAGGATGGGGGCCGGGTCCATCGGTTCAGAAATCTTTCACCTACATTATTTCAGAGTGGCAAGCCACTTTTCATCTCTTTTTATAGGGTGTGTGCACACATGCATTTTTCGAAGCTTCCAGGCCCTCTGAGCCATTTGCTTGGGCTGTTGAACTCTCCTCAGGTAGTATCAGTTAGAGCTTTCGCTGGTGCTCTGGTTACAAAGTGGCATAGATTGAGTGTGCTTCCAAAATTAAGTTCAGTTATTTTCTTTTATTTTTTATTTTTTTGTTTTTTTTCTGGTATCAGGAATTGAACTCACGACCTTGCGCTTGCCAGGCAGGCACTGTGCCACTGAGCTAAATCCCCAGCCCCAAGTTCAGTTATTTTAGTGGGAAGTTTTATGAAATGAAAGGTCCTCCCACCCCCAGGAATTGCTACATGGTGTTACACTGGAAATGTCTGCGTAGTAAGTGGAGTGGGAGACTATATGTGACGGAGATTTTGGAGATGACGAATAGGCCAGGATAAAGTCATCACTGTGTGAATGGTATTTAAGGTGGTGTGGAGGTAAAGATGACTTAGGTTAACCTGTCCAGGAACAGGAAGTCATGGTGTTGTATGGATGACCTAAGGCAGGGATTGCTAACCTGGGATTCAGGTGCCCTATATTGAGAGAATCCAGGGGTTCTTTGAGCTTGAAGAGGAGAATAAACAATTTTATTTTCATTAACCATTAACTTAAATTTAACATCATTTCCCTCAATTATTAATTTAGGCAACAAATTACAGTCATAGTAGTAACAGGATCTGTAACTTTTGTTACTAATATAAATCACTGACATTTTCATGTCGCAGGGATGTTGTTGTAAATATATTTAAATGTTGTCAGTGCTCATCACCATTTGGAAATAGGACTTGCTAGTAGAACTTGTTAAATGCTCTAGTACTAACGATCTATATCTTCAGTCTTGATAACCGTACTTTATGATTAGCTTCTTTGCAATTGTATGTATTATATGTAATTTAAAATATATTCAGAAATGACCTGTTCATTAGACTTCCAAAGGCATCCCCAGCACAGTAAAGTCAAAAGCCCCTTAGATATAAGGAGGGTAATGAAATTGCTGAGCATAAAAACAGGAGTAGTGGAGAAGGAAGGCAACGAGCCCAGTGCTATTTCCTATAAAATGTCCTAAATTGTATTGTGCCTTATTTATTTATTTCATTTTAAAGAAAATAAAAAAGAACAATAGCAAAATGCCAACCACACAGACAAAAAAAAAAAAAGCAAAAACAATAAGAATGATACAGGGTTTCAGAATAAAATGATAGGAATTAACAGTAGTTGTTATATTACATATTTTTATCTTCAAAAAGTTTCTCAGAGTATCAGATGTAGGAATGCAAGGTTGGTCAAACCATTACAGAGAATAAAAAGTAAAAACAGAAAAAATTATAAATGATGCAGAGTTTCACCAAACAAGATGACAGGAATTCAACAATGGTTGTTATATTGCATATTCAAATTAGTTGTTCAGATTACCAAATATAAGCATGCAAAATTAGTAAAAAAAAAATAAAGCATTAACTGTCCTTTCAATAAACTAAAAGAAAGGAATAAGGAAGGGAAAATATATATATGCACACAGAAGGATAGCTGGGATAACTGTACTGCTGATGTCTAATGCTTTATTGAAAGGAACAGTTAGTGCCCTATTTATTAATATGAAACTTATAATTAAATTTTCTTTTATAACATATTTTTATAATAAGCCAAATGTATTTATAGGTCATAGGTTTTCCTTCTTCATTTTGCTTTTTAACACCTTTTTCCTTTATCTCTTCATCACCATCATCATTAATATTTACTGAGTATTGTGGATTGCATTAGGTGCTTTACATGCACCTAGTTATCCATATTAATTTCTGAGTGAGAAATGACCACCGAGAATCATTTTGTTCAACTCCCCATTTTACATATGAAGAATTTAAGATTAAGTGGAGTTCATTTATTTTTCAGCCAGTTGGTGGTATAACAAGGATTATGACTAAACACAAAGAAATATTGTACACTATAGTTAAAGAATGTAACTGGAGTCATCAGGGAAAATTTTTTTTTCCCTAGTTACTGCAAGAGAATATTTCTAAAAGGATGTATAACAACGTCAACTTTCAAATTAGATGCTCCAGTGGATTGACAACTGGTGGTCAACTTGTAACACCCAGCTGAACTGAGTAAGTGTGGTGCTGGGCGTGGCAGCCCACCTGAGGACTGTTGCCAGCAGCATAAGAGGCAGAACTGGAGAGGAAGAGACAGGCTGTTGGGAGCTGAGAAAGGCTTTCTGGAGCTGATAGAAGCTGTGAGGAGCTGGTGGTTCTGTTGGAGGAGCTCGTCATGCTGGCTTTCCAGATGAACTTGGCTGTTTTCATCCTCCAAGGAGCTTGGGATCTTGGCACTGAGAATGGCTTTGGTTCACTTTTGGGGGAGCTCTGGTCCTCACTTTGAGCATTGCTTCCTGGCTCCGGAGGGGAAGATGGTGCATGGCCAGTCTCCTGGAGAAGCTTGCTGTGTTGGTTTTCCTGATGGGAATCCGGCTGTCATCATCAGAGGAGTTCGGGTTCTCACAGTTGTTGAGGATGCTGTGGTATTTTCCAGGGCAGCTGTGGTTCTTACTTTCAGTGTTGCTTTCTGGCTCCAGTGCAGATTCCTCAGCCTGCTAACACAGATCCTTCATTCTGCTGGCACAGACTTTCTAGATTCCACCACTGACCTTTGGGCCTTCCAGCACAAATCCGTGAAATAGGCCTGCATGAGACATTGTCGTGGGCTCTGGGCCTCCAGTTGGATTCATGGGAGGCATTGTTATGGGCTCTAGGTCTTCAGCTGGACTCATACGGGACATTATGGTGCGATCCAGGCCCTCAGCTGGATTCTTTGGTCTTAGTGTGGGGACACATTTCCTGCACTCTCTTGTATATGATTCTTTGGGTGACTGTTATAAATAATCTTATAAAATGTGTCCTGTATTATATTGTTCTCCCTTGCAATAAGCCCCAAACCAACACAGATGCCATTACAAAAACTAGATATTATCAGTATTGTTAATTTTTGCTAGTCCAAGGAATGACAATGGTTTTGTATTGTGTTTATTTGGATTATTGGTAAGATTAACTATCTTTTCATATGTTATTGGGCATTTACATTACATTTTCTCTTCTATGAATCACCTATGTGCTTATTTGCCTATTTATTTTTATTATGTTTCTTTTCAATGAACAAGTTTTTTTTTTTTCCTTTTTCTGTGGTACTGGGGATAGAACCCAGGCCTTGGGTATGCTGGGTAAATGCCCGATCACTGAGCTAAACCCCCAGCTTGCTTGCTTGCTTATTGATTGACTGATTGGTTGAAATATGGTCTTGCTATGTAGTCTATGCCAGCTTTGAACTAACTACGAACCCCAGGCTGGTCTTGAACTCTCAATCCTTTCGCCTCAGCCTCCAGCATAGCTGGGGTTACAAGTCTGCACTACTGTTCCTGGTCCATGCAAGGACTTTTTTTTTTACATTAGGGCTATTAGTTATTTGTCTTGTAATTCTTTTCTCTGGGCTCATTTGACTTGCTTAGTTTTTCTCTTAAAATTTTTTTTCAATTATCCCTCCAGTTTATTATTTTTTTGTTTTGTTATTTTGAGACAGGGTCTTTCTATATAGTTTAGGCTGGCCTTAAACTCACTGTGTAGCCCAGGCTGGTACTGAACTTGAAGTAATCCTTCTGCCTCATTCTCCAGAGTGCTGAGATTACAGGTGTGCACCATCACACTCAGCTCAATTTATTATTCTTAAGGCTTCTGAAGTCATCGCTGAATCCAGCAAGTAGCATGCCTAACCTCCATTTTTAAGAGGCATTTTTGAAGGTGGTGTTACTCCATGAATCAGGATTAAGACTTCCTTTTTGTATTTATTTCATTATGATATTAAAAGGTTGCTTTTGGCAGATCTAACAGAAGGGCTTAATGTTTCTCTGACGTATACAGTGCATCTGTAATACTTACTGTCAGTTGGTAGTTGGGTCATTACTTCCTCAAGTTCTTCGTCTGTAATTTTAATTCCCATATTTTCCAAAAGAGATTCCACTTTTTTTACTTTGACCCGTGGTCCTTAGGAAAGAAGGATGTAGAATAATATCAGTATTGATTGTTAAGAATGAAAAGTGCTAATCATGTTACATATCAAAAATCCCAATTGAATGGTAAAGCACAAGAGCATAAAAAGCTATTTGTGTGTGTGTGTGTGTGTGTGTGTGTGTGTGTGTCTGGATGTAGATATGGTTGTTGACAATAGGAAAAAAGAGAGAAAGATATATTGAACTGTTAGCAGTATTTGCCTCTATGGGAAGGATGAGATTGGTCGGGAGAAGGGGAGCTTTCACTTCTTTATCAGCTTTTCAAATATTTTGATTAGGTAGTTTTCTTACGGTATTTTAAAATATATTTTTCTAATTAAAAACTAAAGAGGTAATTATTATTTCTTAAAAATTAATTTTATCAGTACTCTTTTGACATACATAATAATCACATTCAGTATGGGGAATCTGCACCTGTATATATTCTAGCTTAATTCTTTTTTTCTCCATTCCCCTCCCTTCTCTTTGATCCTTCTTTCCCTCTTTATTTATAAAACTTTGTTTCTATTGTTTTCCTTCCATTCTTTTTTGTTAAAAAAGAAATCATGCATACAGCGTTAGCATGGGACGCGGAAGGAGGATGTTTCCCTTGATTAACTGGCGGCGGGCTCTGTTTGTTTTCCACGAGTTATTAGACAGGAATAGGCAAGGCTAACGACTCAGGGATGGACAACAGCCAGTTTGTACAAGTCTAGCCAGAAGCCAGGGTTAAACTTTCCACAGTAATGTGACGCTTTTCTGATAGACTCAAAGGTCGGTGCAACTTCGAGCCATGCACATTTCTACAGCTGTTTTGACTTAGGTGGGTGGGGAAGACATAAATGAAGGATGCAAGGTAGAAAAGGACCTAGTATAGAAGTTTATGTTATTTATATCCCAAAATGATCCTTGACAGTGTCTCACACTTCCTGTATGGAAAATAAGCCTGGGAGAAGTTTCCCATTTAGTTATAGATACAGTGTAGGGACAAACATCCACTTTGTCATTCTGATCATTGGTTAAGTCAGTATGCCTACCTAATGTTTGGTAAATGTGGTACGTGTGTGCGTGTGTACATGCCATTGCCACTGATTTGATGTCTTATGTCTTATGTAATTTTTAAAAAAAACTTTAATGTCCTTGAATTTGTATATTAAATAAAATTATCCCTTTAAAAAAAAGTCTGTGCGCCCGTGGCAGACTAATTAACAACATGACAATGAATCCAGCAAAGCTGGAACGTCTATAAGAAAACGCTAATGCAAGGGTTCTTTACTTGGCCTTTCACACGCCTCTGACTCACCATGGAGGCCCTTCACACTCTGCAGCACCCTCTTCTTATACACCTTCCTGTCGGCTGTGAGACATAATAGAATATAGGTTACATCGTGAGGACAGTAGCAAAGACAACACAACTTACACAACTGCAGGGAAAAATAATCCCAATAATGTTCTGGTTTGTTTGGAAGTTCTGTTTTTACTCTCACGTAAAAATAAACCAAAACCAAGAAAGCTTTCACTGACAGAAAATCTACTCAGTTGAATAAAAACAGTCTTAATTTCCAGTTCTCTCATTTTTCTTCCTTGTCTTACTTCTCTGGCTTAACTTTTCTCCTTAGCTGTGATGTAGATTAGACAGCGCTCCCAGGGCTGCAGACGAGTTTAACCTTGGGGGTAGAGTCGGGCAAAAGGTGTCTGCTTTCAGTGTTAAAATACAAGCGACAAGAGCAGGCAAAGGAATTTCTTCGAATGTGAGAACTGTGTTTTCTAAATAGGTTTTACTGGACATACACAGGTATGATTTCAGAAGTTTTCACATCCAAATCCCTCAACCCAGGCTTCAAAGGATGCGCTAAATATACTCACTGTACGGGGAGAGAGCTCGGAGCAGCTTCTTCTGTTCCCCATCACTGAGTGTAAGCCCCATTTTCCACAGGACCTTGTCCAGGTCACCAACATCAACCTTCTCTCCTTTGGGAAGAGGGTGATTATTCACAGGTAGGGCCTTCTGCAGTAGATGACTTCAAATTATGAAAAAGTTTGCCTATGTGGCATTATCCTCAATTAGAAGAGCAAAACTTAAAAATTGAACGTTGTACATAAACTACATAAATTCACAGGTCATGTGGATGTGCAGTTTAAAGTAGAGAAAGAATTTATACTTTTCATTCAAGAGAAAGCCCATATAATCCTAGGTCAAACACCATCATATTATCTGAGTAATGGTATCTTTATGTAGGAACCATACTACAAAAGCTTCACTTTGAGTTTGACACTAATGACTAATATTTTGGTTGTTTAGACAATGGTGATGTGAAAAAGGATTGTTCAAAATATGACATATTATAGGTCTACACAAGAAAAAAATCACAAATCAAATAGTAAGATTATAAAACAACATTTAACTGTTAAATTTGTAGGGCAGGCCGGGCATGGTGATGCATGCTTGTAATCCCAGTACTTGGGAGGCTGAGGCAGGAGGGTCGCTGTGAATTCGAGGACAGCCTTGCCTACGTAATGAGTTTAAGCCCAGTCTGAACTACTACACAGCGAGATCCTGTCTCAAAAAACAGCAGCAACAAAGCAAAACAAAAAAAATAGGGCAGTCAGTTTAGCATGTCATTAATACTCTGAAGAGAAAACTACTGCTTAAAAGAATCTTAATTTGTTTTCTACATAGAATTAGGGTCTTAGTTAACAAATACCTTTTTTCCACCATAGCTTCTTACTCACCTGTAAAAGTGTTTGCTTCATCCATCACCTCATTTAAATCAACCATTTCATTCTCTGTAAGAAAAGAAAACTCAGGTACAGAGACCAATTTTTTTTCTTAGAAAAGTAATATGAAAATTTTAAATTGTAATGTAAGGGGTTGAACCTTTGTGTTTTCCCCCCTTTTTTTCTTTTAACTCAAACAAGAAGTAGAGAAAAGAAAAAGATCAAGATGTAAATTGAAAGTGAATGTTCATTCACATGTTTTATTTTTTGGTTTTTTGAGACAGGGTCTCGCTTATGTAGCTCAGGCTGGCCTCAAACTCACGGCGATCCTCCTGCCTTGGCCTGCCCAGTGCTGGTATTACAGGAGTGTGTCACTATGCCCTGCTTTGAATGTTTATTAACTAATATTATTTGAGACAAGTTTGACAGCAGTTCTGTTTAGTAGGCTGTTCCTTCTTTCAGACCCACAGGGAGGCATATTTCAATAGATATGATTGAATTTGAGACCTGGAAGCCATTTGTTTACATAAGCAGCTAGCCATTAACCCTTAATGGCATACATGTTCCCATTCTCTATGTTTTGCTTATGTTCACCACCTCTACCCTGAGGACTGTAACTATTTGATATCAGGAATTATGGCTTAATTTTCTTTATACTACCAGGCATAACTTCCCCCATTTAGTTCAGTGCTTTGCACTAGTTTAGATAAACAAAAGAAAGAATGCAAGTGGTAGAAATAAGACCAGTAGTGGTGGCACACACCTGTAACCCCAGTACTTGGGAGCCTGAGGCAGAGGATCGCCGTGAGTTTGAGGTCAACCTGGACTACATAGTGAGTTCAAGGCCTGAACTACATAGCGAGACCCTGACTCAAAAAAAAAAATCACATTGTTGGATTAGGAAAAAATTATGTCATATATAAAAAAATTCAAGGTATTAAAAAAGTAGCTTATTGGTAATAGTAGCTTTTGTAGTAGGAAGCATTTGGGGAACGCTAGCTAATATGTGGGGACAATATTATAATTAAAAAATAAATTATGGTGACCTTTCTTGGTAGGAAGAGGAGTCACATGAAATTATGAATAACTGCCAATATTACCAAGTTCTGTCAATTTCCAGCCAGGTTTTTAATTACAAAGCAGGCCAAAATGTTTCTCTATTAGGACCAGCTTCAGGGACGATATTAATGGAAACACCTGCAGGTAGCAGTGGTCTACCTTAGTTATACCTGCCAGCCATTAGTTGACTGATAATAGAAACCCTGAATTAAAGGAGAAGAACTCTTTGTTTATTTGGGCTGGCATGTTCTAGCTCTATAGAAAGATGTACTGCCTAGCTTTCGGAGGGAAGCTTGCTTTTTGCATCAGCCTTTTAATAAGGAAGACACTGGCTCTGGGTTTGAATCTAAGAAGCTTCTACTGAGGAGATCTTAGTGTGGGACTCATCCCTTAACAATTTCTTCCTAGTGACCTTTGCTAGCTTTCCACCTTTGATATTTATGTCCAGCTACATTAATTTTATTGAAACATTAATGAAGTTCTGTCTTATTAAAAAAGGTGAGAAAGGAAGGAAAGAATGAAGAAAAAGAAAATAGATAAAGAAATAAGGCAAAATAGTAACATTTGTTCACTCTGGCCTTTGGGCACATGGTGTTTGTTATTTTGCTCTTTGTTTTTATGTATGTTTGAAATTTTCCATAAGCTTTTCAAAGAGATCAACAAAACAACTTTACTTTCGGAAACCCTCACACAGAATCTATAAGATTTCTCCTTGAGGTGGGGGTGTGGTGGTTTACATCTGTAATCCCAGCATTTGAGAGGCTGACGCAGGAGGATCGAAAGTTTGAGCCCAGCCTGGACTACACAGTGAGACTCTATTTCAAAACCAAACCAACCCAAACCCAAACCAACAAGATATTTCTCCTAGAGGTGGTGGTATCTGAAACACTTACCATCAACTGGCAGATAGCTGAGTAGGTCTTCATAATCCCCTTTTCCAAGTTCAAGTTCCAAGCTCTCCATAAGTGTTTCTAGCTCATGAACATAGACTTTTTTCCCTTAGGAAACAAGAGAATGGAAATAAGAAATACAAATAATTCCACGAAATAGAAGATGCTACCTTTGAGATCATGCATCACTCTTTAGATGAATGTAGATAGTGTCAGAGTTGAGAAGGGAAAATGCTCCTTCATCACTAAGGTCTAACTTTCAGTTGAAGTAATCATGGATGACAAAGAATTAGATAAATCTGATGAGTTGTAATAAAGATAACCAACCTTTCAGCAAACTTTCAAACTTGCTGCAGTGTGTATTACCAGCAATGATTTCTTCAAATATACCCAAAGAAGAATGGTAGCTTGTGAGACATACATTGAGAATCAAGAAACTAGTAGAATAGTGTAACAACAAGATTCTAATCAATGAGAACTTTTTTTGTTTAGTTTTTGGAGACAGGATCTCACTCTGTAGCTCAGGCTGGCCTTGAACTCACTATGCAGCCCCAGCTAATCTCCAACTCTCAGCGATCCTCTTGCCTCAGCCTATTGAGTGCTGAGATTATAGGTGTGCACCACCACACCTGGCTGGATAACTTTTTGCATGTAAGTAAAAACTCCATTTGTCCACATTACAATTAAATTACTCAGGAGGATAGTACACAGCACCTCATTCACATCATGATTAGCAGAAGACAGTGTTAATCCTCCCATTGCCTCACAACCAAGCGCAGCAATGCTATTTTCTCTTTCTCTTCCTTTTCAATTATGTCTCTATTTTCCCCCAACTTCTTTTAAATTTTCACTCCTGAGGGTAAAATTGCCATATTGAGGGCTTACTTACTGCATACAGTTTTCTGGTTCAGTTTAGATTTTGTTATATAACCACAAATCTAGTTTATATGGTTAAAGGTGGCAAATTAATAGTTACCTCAGTTTATAATTTTTTAGGCTGTGTTGAATGCTACTGATGCTGATCTTACCACTTTTACCAAAGTGACATAACTGTTCTGACCACTTGTTCTTCCTAGTATACGAAGACTGAGCTTGCCTAAGAGACATAAGAAATACTATAGGGCACTGGCAAAGAGCCAGGGACTGGGCCAAATAGGCAGCACCTTCTCATCCTCAATGAATTGAGGAGGTAGGATCTTGCAACAGACTCAAAACCCAAAAACCACCTATGCTTGAAAGACACCTCTGAGAAGTAGTCATTTCCTAAAAGTTCTAAATACTAGCAATAAAACTACTCATCATAGGCAATTTAGAAGGATCAATCTAGGAATTAAACTAAAAAAAACAAAACAAAACAAAAAAAAAAAACAACAAAAAAAAAACTGATTGAAGACAGCTTCAGTATTTCTTCTTACAGTTAAATTGTTCTTTCTTCCACTTCCCATTTTTTAATTTGATTTATTTTAGAACCAGCTACTTCTCAGAT